ACAAGTCCTTGAGTGTCACGGTTGATATTTAAAAATGATCCCCAGAGGCTTTAAATAAGATATTTCAATTCCACGGAGCTGTCAGGAACTGCTGCGGACACCAGGAATAATGGTCCCGCTCTCCTTGCGCTGTCCTCGCTCATAAATCACACACCGGGACTCCGAGACACACACACACGGATGGATGGACGGACAGATGGACGCTCACCTGCCCCCTCAGCAGCGCTGGGACACGCGTGGTCCTCACACCAACCCCCCCATGCACTCCTCACCTGCCACATCCCCCCCAAAGCCCCCGGCACAGCCCTGTGAGACCCCAACCACCCCCACTCTTGGGGCTCACACACACCCACGCACATAGCACCCACTGATGCACAGTCCCACTGCAACACCTTGTCCCCACACACCGGGAGCTGGGACACCTCTGTGGGCATGGGGACCCTCCACCCCTGCGATGGGGACACCCCAGTTAACAGGGTCTGGTCCCCACATCCCCAGAGCTGGAGGAGAGATGAAGGAGCTGAGGTTTGGCGCTTTAACACACACCTGAGCAGGAGAAAGGAAACCAACCATGGGTACAGCAGACAGACTTTGTCCTCTGCTGCTCAGCTCCCGAGAAGGCTTTGAGCCAAAATCACTCCGATTTGGTGACCTTCCTCCATCACACCTGGCTGTAAGGGGACAGGGACCCGTGGGGGAACCTGCTGTGGGCAGGAGGAGGGGTGAAGCGTGCAGCGTGCAGCCCCAGCACCCCACACAGCCCTCCCAGGAGGGGCCACAACCCATGGGCACAGCCCATGGTCACAGCTGCTCCTCCATGTCCAGGACCTCCCAGTTCCTCTGTGCAAACTGGGGACTGATTCTGCCACCCGGTGCCCACGGGCACTGCCCCAGCCAGGTCACTTTGCCCATCCACCAGCTTGGACACACATTTTGCATCGCTGAAGCTGGGATGGAGACCTGGCCACGCTCCCAGCACAGCCCTCGCTGCTGACTCCGCTGTTTCAGGGGTTTGGTTGGTTGGTTTGTAAAGCCAGAGGTTGACAGGGCATCGTCTGCAGGGAAAAGCACTTCCGAAGTCAGGACTGACCCCATGCTTCAAAAAACCCACATCAATGGAAATGAGCAGTGATCTCCAGGCTGGGTCAGGAAGTGGCTGTGCCACGCTCAGCCCTGGGGTCACGATGGGGCTCTGGAGCCAGAAGTCCTGTGCCAGGGGACTGGTGGGTTTGCAGAACCAGTGGAAAGCTTTGGCATCAAATCAATTTAACAGATGGATGGGCAGCACATCAGGAGGGACATCCTCCCCATCCATCCATCCATCCACCCACCCAGCCCACCTCCCATCGGCAGCTCCACCACGGTGAGGCACAACACGGCGATGGTGGCACCGCGATTCCCCGGCCCTGGCTGATGTTCCCAGCTCTATCATTGTAGGGTTGCTGAGAAGCGTGGGGCTGACGCCGCCGAATTATTATTAGATTGAGGGGGTGGAGAGGGGCCGGGAAAAGCATCAGCCAAAGGATTTGATCCATCAAATTGAAAGCCAGAAGAGTGCAGAAATCTGTGCGGTTCTTCCAATGCCGCCCAGGAACAGCTGGATCGGATTTGGGATATAAGCACATTGGCACAGTCCCCTTTGATTAATATCCTGTATAATGACTAATTAATTCTAGAGGGGACGTGTATTTGAGTAGTTACTGTGCGATAATGAAATGTCGAGTGAGCATTAAAACACACTTAGTGAAGCTTTAACGACTCCCAGCATCCAAACCCCCGTGTCCCGGCACCTCCGCCCGCGGCTCCATGTGGTTTTAAATGACCCCCCGGGATTTCATCAGGCCCTGGTAACTCTATTATCGGATCTCAATTAGCTGCTGATTGGAAAGGGCTCTGTTTTGACACACGTGGCCGGAGCCGTCGCCTCTGCGCTTGCCAGGAGCGTTTTTCTTTGGTCAGGGGAATTTGGCGAGTGACGGTGACCCTGTAAATCGCCGCCTCAATTGGCCCTTCCAGAAAAATGAGTCGTTTAATAATTAATGCCCATGTATTAATCTGCTGCCTTCCTGCGAAGCGAGGAGATCCCCTCCATCGCCTTCCCCCCACGTGCCTCCTGCCAGCCCCAGTGCCTACAGGGTTGCTGGGCACCCCTGTCCCATGCACGGCAATTGCTGCTGCTTGCTCACACCAGTGCCACCATGTCCCTCTGTGCTGGTTTCACTGGGCTGGCAGGCAAACACAGCTGCTCACTCACTCACCCCCACAGGAGATAGGGGAGAGAACTGGGGAGCAAGGGGAAGGAGACTGGTAGGGTGAGATAAGAACAAGTTAATAACTGAAATTAAATAAAATAATACTGATATTAAAATAATAATGAGAATAGGAATAAAATATGCAAATGAGGGATGCCAGTGCCATTGCTCACCACTCACTGACCAAACCTGGCCTGTTCCCAGATCACGATCCCGGC